ATGATAAACAATGAAGAAACTCCATATGGAGTTTACTTTCAATGAGGCAAAAGTTAGCCACTGGCACGAAAGTGCCTTTACATTGACTGCTGACAGTACGCTATCCAAAATAGACAAGCAGGAGACAAAAGAAAGGACTGCTGATCCTTGACAAGATAAGGTAGGAAGGCTCTTTAGAAAATCCTGCTTCACAAATGAGTCTGCCAGATATGCTAGGCCTCACAAATGAGTCTGTCAGATATGCTAGGCCTGTACAGTGAAGATGGATGCCCCAAGGTTGCAGAAGAACCTGGGTGACTATCCAGGCAGCCTGCTGTTTCTGTTATTTCTCACATTTTTTGAAAGTCACTTGTTTGCACTTCCTGCTTACTCAGTTAATATTTCCTTCTCGTGTCTCTGAGCAAGTTGAAGATTAGATAGTTATAGTTATAGTTTTCCTTGTTAACAAATTCAGAACAGAAACTCACTAAAAAGGTATAAAGTATAAAGATTGAAAGACATCAAAAGATAGTTTTGGATTGGTAATACAAGTTAGGATAGAAAGTGAATTAGGTACATTTTAGATTCACCAAAATAGGATAGATAATGGGGTATTTTTGCTGAATTTGTCAAATGCAAATAGACTAGACATTGTTGATGTATTTATTGTCTGTATATATTGTATATAGTTATTATACTTATCGTATATAGTTTTTCTTATATTAGTTATAACCTTCTTTTATTATTTTAGACAAAAAGGGGGAAATATGGTGATATATTGTGTACCCCAATAAAGCTTGCCTAGGGATCAGAGGACAAAGCCAGTTACTATATTAAACATAGAGGTCAGGCACACACCTTTAATCCTAGCATCTGGGAGGCAGGGATCCATCTGGATCTTTGTGAGTTCAAGGCCACACTGGGAACAGAGAGCCAGGCATGGTGGCACATGCCTTTAATCCCAGCACTAGGAAGGAAGGAAGATGGCAGGGCACAGAAATGTATATAAGGCATGAGTAAACAGGAAGTCTCTCTCTTGGGTCTGAGGATTTCATAGAGGCAAGAACATGGCTGGCTTGTTCTGTTTCTCTGATCTTCCAGCTTTCACCCTAATATCTGGCTCCGGGTCTTTTTTTATTATTAATAAGACGTTTTAAGATTCATGTTAAACTTAACAGCACACCTGAAGGCTCTAGAACAAAAAGAAACAGACACACCTAAGAGGAGTAGATGTCAGGAAATAGTCAAACTGAGGGCTGAAATCAATAAAATAGAAACAAAGAGAACAATACAAAGAATCAGTGAAACAGAACTGGTTCTTTGAGAAAATCAACAAAATAGATAATCCCTTATCCAAACTAACTAAAAGGCAGAGACAGCATCCAAATCAACAAAATCAGAAACAAAACCAGAGACAACAACATACACTGAGGAAATCTAGAGAATCATTAGGTCACACTTCAAAAACCTGTACTCCACAAAATTGGAAAATCTAAATGAAACAGACAAATTTCTTGATAGATACCACTTCCCAAAGTTAAATCAAAGTCAGATGTAGCTCTCCAAATTTAACCACTCTACCTTGAGTAAGAGCTAGTAAAATCAATGGTTGGCAACATGAAATATTATAAAGCTGGGTTTGCAGTCAGGAAGACTATAGGATGTAGAGGCCAGGGCATATGTGGATGTACCTGAAAATATGATACTGGAGGAGTAGGTGGTTTGTGAATTAGAATTAATAGGCCTATTTTGAGGCATTGGGATAGGAGATATAGACGAGCTAGTTGTTCTGATGGCATTTGGAGGTGAGGAGGTCTGTGGGGTGAAACAGATCAATATCTACCAAAAGGCTCAGAGAAGTGACATATAAGAGATGAACTACCTATCGAGAGGGAAGTTGTAGAGATGACTTGATGGGCAGATGGGGAAGATCTTAGAGAAGGAGGAGGGCTATGAGATAGGCAGCCTTACAGGAAAGAAAGTCCCAGAGACTTATGGGAAGGAAAAGAGCTGACCAAGCTAGAGGTGTAGGGGAGGAGGAATATCTCAGTGAGAATTTGGGATGAGCGGAAGGGGACCTAGCTGTTGATGCTGAGGAGGGAAGTCTTGAAAAAATAGGTGGGCCCATGGAATGGAAAAGAACAGGCCCACCAGTGATGGGGGGGGGGGGGGCGGGGAGAACTCAGGTGATGTTAAACAAGCCTGTGGATTAGGAAAAAGGCGTACCTGACTGAAAGGTGAGGAGAGTCTTTGGAAAAAAATTTAAAGAAGTTTTGATGATCATTATTAAGCATTTGTTTTGAGTGTTCAAAGGCAGTGGATATTCAGTTGGATATAAAAGTTTCACATTTCCTTAGCCGGGCGGTGGTGGCGCACGCCTTTAATCCCAGCACTCGGGAGGCAGAGCCAGGCGGATCTCTGTGAGTTCGAGGCCAGCCTGGGCTACCAAGTGAGTTCCAGGAGAGGCGCAAAGCTACACAGAGAAACCCTGTCTCGAAAAACCAAAAAAAAAAAAAAAAAAAAAAAAAAAGTTTCACATTTCCTTTGGGAGACATGTATTCAACTTCTCAGTAGTTAGGTTAGGAGAAATTAACAGGTAGAAATTAAGCCTTCTAGCATTAGAAATTAGAAGACAATTGATTTGATAGGTATTAATTCATTAATGAAAAGACACTTTAAGAGTTTCCTGAGTACAGTTTCTAGAGACCTTTGATCTGTAGAGTATTCTTTACTGTTCTTTAAATAGACACATTGGTCTTGTCCTTCTAAATGTGAGCTGGGTTGGTTTTCCTGAGGCCTGCTATTGCCATTCTAGGAGCATCAAATTACTCTTCTATAGATCTATTCTTCATGATTACTTCTTTATTTTTATTTTTATCAAATATTTATTTCATTTTCATCTCTCTCTCTCTCTCTCTCTCTCTCTCTCTCTCTCTCTCTCTCTCTCTCTCTGTGTGTGTGTGTGTGTGTGTGTGTTTATGCACAGCTGTGAACCCCTTGCCATGGGTTTTGGGAACTGAACTGGCATCCTCTGAATGAGCAGTGCACACTCAGCTCTTAGCCACTGAGACATCTCTCCAGTTCCCATGATCATTTCTTAAACACTTGTCCGAAATAGTTGTTTTCTAAATGGATTCCAAAAAGAGCTGTTTCTTTTTTTTAATTAAGAAAATTTTTCATTAATTTTACAGACCAATCAAAGATTCCCCTCTTCTCTCTTCCTGCCCCCCCATCCTCCCCCTCCCAACCCCCCCCACTCCCCCCAACAAGAAGGCGAGGCCTCCCATGGGGAGGCACATCCAGTAGAGGCAAGTCCAAGCCCTTCGCCCTCTTCCACAGTCATTCTTGGATCATTTACAGGGCTTGGTTTTCAATGTTACAGAACAGACATTCACATAGAGTCATGCAGCCTTTCAAAGAGTCTCTAAACTAGCCAGAAGGCAACTGGAAAGAGAAACAGGAAGGATAAAATTGCCTGTCTATGGATAGATTCTGGAATCCTTCCACAGTTCATGACATAATGTACGTCAGAGAACGCATTTATCTGATCAAACAGCTGGTAAATCTAACAAGCACATGGTCTCTGTTCAGGTTGTTCTGCTAGTTGTGAAGTGGTACAGCAAGCAGGATACTTAGAAAGCAGCAGTGCAAGTTAGGCTCTTAAGAAACCTACAAAAGCGCAGAAAACTTAACTGAAAACAGAAACCCGAAGATGTTCAATGAATGAAAGAGCTCTTTGGAAATATCTTGGAGTTTTGCATGAAACGTTATGTCAAAAATATGAGAATTTGAAAGCATGTTTAGATTTTGCTAAAATCTCATCAATTTTTCTCATTTGCTCAAATGTGAATGATTTTGTTACTAGCGTGCAAGTTTTTTGGTGTCAAGCTAGAACCCACTTTTCTCATTTGCAGAGATTCTAAGTGGGAAGAGCCTTACTTCTGATTCTCCACTATGTGGGACAAATCCATCAGCTGCCCTTGTTTGTCCACTATGTGGGACAAATCCATCAGCTGCCCTTGTTTGTTAAACATATGTTTTATTGGAGCAGACCTTTTTCTGTTTCTGTTTATGACCACCTTTGTATACAAAAAATGTTATATCCTCCCCAAAGACACTTATCCAGCCCAGGATACCTCAAAATTTTACTGTGTGGTTTCTAACAAAAAAAAGTAGACCTACATTTATTCAAAATGTAGTGACTTTTGTGCTTTTCATATTACATCATAAGGTATTAAATATATTTTACATCCTCACCAGCATACATGAACATAAATGGAGACTAGATCTAGGAACATGCTTTTCATAATAATTTTAATTCTTTCCCCTCTATTCTTACTGTCAACTTTACAATAATTCTAACTCTAAATTTTTTAACAGCATTACATAGGCAACTATGAAAACATTTTTTGTTTTGAGACAGGGTTTCATGCTTATGCTGTGCTTGAACTGTTATGTATTTCAGGATGACCTTGAACTAATTTCTGATCTTCCTGCCTCCACCTTCTGAATGCTATGATTACAGATGTGCCCTTCTATGCCTGGTGAAAAACATTTTCTGCAAATATCAATGTCATTCACCTGTTTGCAATATTTCTTGTAACAAAACTTTTGGTATTGTTGCTCATATCATCACATAAGCTATAAACAATTATATAAGACACCTGACACACTGCCACAGGGGGAAAGATTAAGAGGGACAAGAGGCAATCTGCAAACATTAGGGGGCTACTAATTAAATGACCTGATTGTTCTCAAGTTTTCCTCAAGTACCTCATTAATTTCAAATGACATCCTACACTCTTGAGACTTTAGCTCAACTCCATTTGCTAGTGTTGATTTTTTTCATTTATAGAACGAGTACAAGCTTAGCACATGACACATAAAACCCCAATCCATAAAACTGATATAAACCAAGTTCTGAGCCAATTCTTTACCTTTTCCACTGTTTTATTCACTGACCTACTGACTATTTGCCTATTGAGATGATTTGTCTTTTTTTTTTTCTGGTCCAAGACTCCAAAAGCAAAGTGTATTAAACATTAAGGACAATATGTATCACAAGAAGTCTACTGTTCAATAAGAGACTGAAATTAATCAAGTAAGCACACAAACCTCTACTGGGATAAAATCTGGGATCCAAGTGCCAGGAAGCAGACAGAAGAGCAATTTGACCAAGTCACAGGGTCAGGTGAGACCTCTAAGAGGAAATAATGACTGAGCTGAATTGAAAAGGAATTCCAGAGCTGAAGCAGGCAGGTGAGTGAACCCTTACAGCATGCACAGTGTCTCCATAGAAACTCACTCTGCCTCTCCCCTTGGGTGCTACTCTTTACCCATTTCTCCAATCCCTTACTTCTGAGGAATTTAAAATTAGTCACATTTTTTTTTCTCTCCATTGCATTTGTCCATAAAATGGAGAGAAAAAAAAATCACCCCATGATACTGCTTTCTAATCATTTGAATATTTCCATGAAGGATGTAGCCACATGTGTGGAAATTGTTCTTGTTCATTTGGAATAAGTCTGAGGCAGTTTCTTTAACTAGCTCGATAAATCATCCTGAAGACATGACCTTGGATTTCAATCAGCCGATATTTACGGTTTGAAAATACTTCCTTGTGAGGCCAGTAGGTTCAGAGTCACTGACCATGGATTTATGGCTGCAGTTATGGTGACAAGCTGGGACTCTGAATGATAGCAAAGTAAATCTGCAGCAAGATTGACTTTGCTTGTTGAGATATAAAACTTTATAGTTTGTTCTACGTCTATAGAGTTTTCCTTTTGTGAAACAATTAAAAAACGACTTATATATTTTATTTGTAGTACATATTTTAAATTTCCCACTTTGATTTCCAATTCTTGATAAACTGATGCAACTAGATTTATTTATTTATTTTGCTATCATGAAGAATAAACCAACAAGTAATTTTCACCCTACACTGCTTTTAGAAGCCTGGTCTTGGGTGAGGAATATGGGCTAAACAAGGGTTTCTGTAGCTGCTGTGCTAGACAGGAAGAGTAGGGTTTTACTGTGGTAAAAATACTAGAAGGGCTAAGTCAGGAGCCTCCTGCCGCAAGCCTGGAGCTGACTGTGCCAGTAGTAAGACAAAAAGCCAAAAATTTGAAAACTTCACCAGTGCTAGTTTTACGAAGAATGTATTCCGATTTTTTTTTTCTGTAGTATGATAAAATTACAATACTTTGGTTTTATAAAGACACTGAATAGCCTAAAACATTTTGAAAGTTTGGGCTTCTGAGGCAGATGACTATCCATTTATATATGGAGGAAGCTCAGCACTCTTAGAGTTTCCTTTTATTTACAGTGCTGAGACTTGAATCCACAGCCTTGCACATGGTAGACAAGCCTTGCACCAAGTCTTCAGCTCCAGTATGCATTTCCTTTCTGTTCCTTTGTTCCGCTGTGACCTAGTCTCCAAAGCAAGCACAGGGAACTGCAGTTAAAAGCAACATCTAAATGGCTGAAGAGATTTACTGTAAGTGCAGTGACCCAGAAATGTGATTTTCCCTGGACCATTGCCCTAATGTGTTACCTGCTCCGAGTGTGATGTGAGTGCTCAGAAAGTTTCCCACCCGCCGGTTGTCTCCCGCCTTAGCTGCTCAGAACACTGCAAAGCATATCAGCCTTTTATTCCTTTTTGAATTACAGGACGACTGGCTGTCATGGAGGCATCTTACCAGCAGATGGCGCTCAGGCTCTGTGTCAAAAAGATGTGAATTCCTCTTTGGTCTCTGTTTACTAGCATTCATTTTAAGAGGTGAAAAGCAGTTTTTAGAGAAAAATCTTTGTTAGCAGAAAGCTTCTGAATTTGTGAGAGACAAAAACCATGTACTTAATTCATTCAACAGTAATTATTAATCTTTGAAAAATTCAAATTAATGTGCAGGAACATTATAAAAATCCCTCTTATGTTTATTGATAAAGCTGGTAGTCTCACTTACACTGATGTTTTATGAGGGAACATAGGAAAGGCAGTCAGGATTTTCATGCATTTTGAAGAGGGAATAAAATGGCTGATTCTTGGCTCTGCTTGTTCACAGATTTTGTAAGCCGAGGAAATGGATACCATGGTTGTTTGTAAAATCAGATTCAAACAAAGGGAGAGAACAAGGATGCTTTCCTGTAGCATGGACACCCGCAGCGAACTGGAGAAAAATGATGAGGTTGCAGAAGAAGGGTGAGGCTTAGCATTTCAATTCTAAAATGGATGGTCCCATTTAATTTTCCACACACAATATCTTTTCTTACCAAAGAATAGATTAATATTACTAATCTCACTCAAAGCAGCCTTAAAAAGCCAAAGCAACAAGGATATTTCTAAAGCAGATTGTAGCCATTTCTGCTGGCATGGAAAATTCTCTACCTACACGGAAAGTAATTGTGTTGGTAATCTCGTGCTATTGCTTCAGTTGGAGTCTGCATCATTCTTTGCTCTGCATGGGCTATAGACAGGCATAATGGATGAAGTCATGAGAAGGTGCAATGATGAATTAATATCCCAGAGGTCCTGAAACTAATCACAACAGCAAGCTTTTCTGTGGCCACTCTGTTCTCACAGTTACGTTCTAAAATATGACTCGGATTCTGTCTGCAGACCGGTAGTTCTATACACAGGCAAGGTGAAGAGACCTCGCAATTGCATGAGGAATAAGAGAGCAAGCAAGAGTAAGAAATACAGCTGCCCTGTATCCTAGTGCAATGAAATCACAATCACAGTCCATAGCAGTTCCTGTGCTTGTAATTGCAAAGTTTGCCTCTTTTTAGGCACTGTACTACACACATATCTACACAGTTATCAAATGCACTTTGATATGTTTGACCTGTTATGTGGAAAGTATCGTCTTTCCAATATATGTAGATCCATGGTGGCCTGCAAAGATGGAGGTATGGTGGAGGCATAATTAGCTGATGTGAATTTTGATTGTATCTTATTCCATTTGGTTTTATATTACCTTTCAAGCTTTTCTTGAGTTCTCCCTCATTTAAGGTTCAATACAGGCAGCAAAGATAACAAAGATATGGGTGCAACTCTTCCTAGCGATAGGACGGTGTGGCGGAAGAAGCCAGAGCTCCTCAAATATGCTTCTTAGTACACAGCTATGAAGTTAGACAATTTGAGTTCAAGACAAGCTCAGTACAAAAATATGTACAATATTTCTTCCTTCAGGTGCAGTATAAGCCAGGGAGAGCCTTCCTTTTTTCTGAACGCTGATTCCTTTCTGCCCAGGACAGGACTTGGGAGGAGCAAGGTGAAGGCACATGGAGAACCTGACAATATTCATCAATTCTCTCACTGTATATCAACAGAATGTGTTTAAAAGTTTACTTTAAATAATTGTGGTCTTCCAGAATGAAAATATAGCCACACAGTATTTTCCTTTAAAGTTTTCGTTCACCGTCATGCATTTAAAGAAAATAATGCAGTCTTCCTCACATTGGACAGAAAATGTCCCTTATTTTTCCCCTTCTACCCAGGTATTGACATATTCTACCATAAATTTTCACTGCTCATGATCTGCAGGATAATCCCATATGTGTAATAAACACATTACAATGGAAATTTGAGTAGTAAGTATATGATATATATATATATATATGTATGTATGTATGTATGCATGTGTATATGTGTGTGTATCTCTGTGCATTTACACATACATTTACATAGATAGATGGTTTGTAGTCTGTGATTTTGTTTGATATTTACTCTGTGGCTTTGCATTTAGTTTTGCATTTGTGTGTAATACTTTCAGTAAGACTTATGTGTAGAACATTCAGAGGTCATTGGTTGAAAAGTGCAGTTGACAGGGAGTGCAGGCGTCAGAGGCTCAAGGGTAAGAGTTATCATAAATTTTATCTTCACTGTCATAAATACAGAGATCATTTTTTCATAATAAAATGGCTATTTATTTTTGCCAGCACATAAACTGATGTTTCAGTAATGAATCCTAGATCAGTAAATACACTTGTTTCAATAATAGCATACATAGTATTCAGGACTTAAGTGTACTTACAGCTTTTCCTATTTCTCATGACTCAAGTAGGAAAGCAGTGATATTGTGAATAACTATTATGTGTATCATCTGCATTTTTAGCAACTTAATTACAGGATATGACGCCTTGAAGGTATGTTTGGGGGTAACAAACGATATTTATTGCAGTATCATCTTTGATGGCACAAATTTCTATTAATTTTTTAAAAGCTAAAAAATTAAATGTCTTCTGAGATGATAGTGAATTTATCAATTGAAGAAACTGGGGTTGTTATTGTTGGGGATATTGTTTCATTAGCTATCCAGGAAGAACAGAATCATTTAAGGGAAAGGTGGAAGTCAATGCAACTTTCCTCAATATTAGCTAGACTTTTCTAATCAGAAGTTCTTTGTGCAGCAGAGAGAAGACACTGCAGGAAGATGATGAAGAATGGCTTACAGATGGCTAACAAGCTGGAAACAAAAGTCAGGTGACTCACAGGTGAGAGCCACTAACAGGCTCTGGGGCAACACTTGCCCTTTTTTAATGGAAGTCTTCAAGAGGACTAGGAGTGATGAAGGGTCATTCAATGAGGTGTCAGTGTCTTGAGTGGTGCTTGGGTAGGTGGAAGGATTGTGTTGAAGGATGGCGCAAGCAATGAACGCGTCGGTCAGCAGGGTGGAAGTCAATTCCCTGGATGGTCTTTTACTGCAGCGGTTCAGAAACTGCACGGACTAGAGGAAATCAGACCATTTGTTTGTTTTGTGGATTCTATGATATATTAACAAGATCTTACATCTATTTACTGTATCAGATTCTCAAAACATATTTGCCACATCAATTCATTGAGAATATTAAAATGTAAGATCGATCACAATATATATTTTTATGTTTGATATAAAAATTCATATATACATGTCACCTGGGGTAGTGCAATAATACAAACTGATATTTTTAAATATAGTGCTTTCTTTTGCAAAGCAACATTTGGACAGAATAAAAGCTATTAAGGTTGTGTATGAAAGATACATTAGAGTTACATTTGTATCATTGATTACACTATTTCTCAGTTATACAGTTTGGGGGAAAAAAAAACACAAGCAATTAATCATGGTAGATTACACTCATTTTGTATTTGGCCAGCAGTGGCAAGGAGCTGAGAAGTCTAGATTCCCATTGTGTCTCTCAGTAATTATTTGTGATATCTTTTGCTTTTGTGATTTCTATAACATGCTTCAGTAAATGTGATTGTTTGTACCTAGAAAAGATTTTCAAATAGCTCTCACTCCTTTCTTTGTAACTGTACTTTAAAATAGTTGTTTTCATACGTTGATATTCTTAATATGCTGCCATTCCTAGCCCTGCCATTTGTCTCATTCAATCTGAAAAGGAATAATTACTAACTACCCCAATTATAACTACTATAGTTACATTATCAACTAGGTAAAAGTTTAGTAGTGGAAAGAATATTAAACATCAAATGAAATGTTTACCCTAGTTTGTGTAAAAAAAAAAAGAGCAAAAGCTAGGAGTTATTATAATTTTATTTCATAGAAGGGTGTTCGCTATTAAATAATATAATTCAACACTGGAAAAGAGCAAAGAATTGTCAGTACTTTTATTTTTTGAAAATTTCTTCAGCAATTGGAAATACTAAAATTAACTTTAGAGGCTGGAGAGATGGCTGAGAGAATAAGAGGCTGGATTCTGTTCCACAGGGCCTGGGTTTGTTCCCTAGAACCCACATTGGGGGATCATAGCCCTCTGTAACCTCAGTCTTAAGGGATCCAGCGCCTTCTTCTGGCCTACTATGGCACTGCATGTATGCAGAGCACTGATGCATATACAGGCAAAACACCAATACCCACAAAACAATAGTTTTAAATAATAAAATATATACAAATATAAAAATAACAAAATATAAATAAAAATAACAAGATATCGGAAAAACCATATAGCATTTGTATGTCTTTTTATTGAAATAGTCCACAGCAAAAGAAATTACTGTATTATGTCTATATATATGGTTATATATCCTGATAACATGAAAACAGATGTGCAAGTGTCTGGGGACAAAGCAGGTAAAAGGAGGAGGAGGCTGAAATTAGATGGAGCATTGAGGGGAGTACTCTCAAAGCACACTATATGCTTGCATAGAAATGGCCTGTGTAGTCCTGCATAGTAAAAACAAGGAAAATTATTTTTCATGTAATTATTATTATTACCCTGTTACAATTCAATGAAAAGCAAGAAACTAAGAAATCATTAGTACACAGTATTTTAGAACAATATGACTTGAAATAAGTAGCTGTTTCTTCTGATCTACAAAATGTGAATAAAAAGATGTTAGACAACTGTATTCATAATGAGATGCTTCTGTTCGTATTAGTCACATTTCTCCATACAGTGTGGCATTGATTATGAGCTCCATTAAGCTGCAGTCCTTCAGCTGGTGTCCTGATTTGTCCAGCTTTCCTTGTTGCTCGAGGGTTTTCATGAAACTGATTGAGTTTATTGTCTCTAAATCACAGGAAATTTCAGCACTTACCTCATTAAATGTATCTCTTATATAGTTAATTGATTAATAAATGCAATTAGGTGTGACAGATGACTCCTGTAGCTAAGATTTGAAGTGATATTCTGTGAGCTCCACACTTCTAGTTTCTACAAGAGTGAAATGTCATCTGTACAAAGATTATCTCCCAAATAATGAACTAGAATTCAGGAATAGGCAGTAGACTGCACTCATCATGGTGATTTGGTTTATCTGTGACTTAATACAGTGTCCACTGCAGTAGTGGGTTTTGACTACATGACCAATGAAATGATTGCGTATAAGTTTATTAAACTAATTCCACTCAAATTTACATAGTCAAAGAACAGTTTGAATGTGAAAATAAATAAGGATGAGGAGCAGGTGGGGAGAAAGAGAGGCAGGAAGAAGAGGACGGAGCCAAAGAAATGAATAAGACTAGGCAACATAGAGCAGATGTTCACATCTTTCATGAATAGATAAAAATTCAGTGTTTTTGAGTTGTGGCCAAAGATCAGGGTGAAAACAGTAAGCTGGAGCATGAGATATTTAAATACATTTAGGGTTTATTCGGTGGGTGTACGTTGTGGCAGAACCTGCCTTGATTAAGTAAAACACTGAGTTTTAACTTATTTTTAGTGTTGCTTATGACTCATCCAACATAGGTAATGTCCTTAGCTTATACCCACCTATATTTTGTGTCCTTCGGCTAAATATACTTATAATCTTTGTAGTTGGAAGTTTTTCTGTGTTCTGCCAGGCTCCCACAATCCTGTAGCCCATTTATAAAATAATCACTCAGAAGCTTATATTATTTATGAACTGTATGGCTATTAGCTCAGACTTATTACTGACTAGCTCTTACACTTAAATTAACCCATAATTCTTATCTATGTTTAGTCACATGGTTTGGTACCTTTTCACAGTTCTGCCTTGTCATCTTGCTTCCTCTATGTCTGGCTAGACTCCTGACTCAGCCCTTCCTCTTCCCAGAATTCTCCTCTCTGCTTGCCCCACCTATACTTCCTGCGTGGCTACTGGCCAATCAGCATTTTATTTATCAATCAAATCAGAGCAGCACATATTCACAGCATACAGAACGATATCTCAGAGCATATCTTCTTATAAGGTAAAACTTTCTGACCATATTTGTAAGTGTCAGATCATGTAAAATGATGACTCATGCTCTCCATGCCAGCACTTGAAAGGTCAACGCTGCAGGTCTTTTCTTTGTGTTCAAGTTAGGCTTTATAAGACAGAGTATGTCTCAAAAAATGAATCAAGCAAACAACCAAACAAAAACAAGTTACATCCCAAAATCTCAGGAAACCTAATAACGACAAACCCTAGAAATTATTACTAGGCATTCTAGGGTGAAAGAAAGGTGATTTTATGTGGTGGATTTTCTCAAGTTTCCAATTGTCATTTCCAGTTGAGGAAGCATGCAGTAGAGAAACCTGGTAAGATGACAATTCAGAACCCTTTCCTTTTCTGCTTGATTTGTTCTTCCTACTGCATAAGTTGGTAATCTTTGGTTCCTTCCCCAAATACCCCTGCTTTCTTCCCTTTTATTCTCTCCTCCCAACTCTAACCATCATCTTCATGTAGCCGATCCAAGTTTGCATTATGATTCCATTCTCCCTATTGCCTCCTTTATTTGTAAAAGCAGTTGTTCTATATTTCCAAACTGATACATGTCAGGGTATAAAATGGAACATTTTGAAGTTCCTTTGGACCCTTTGGCTTGAACCTCATGCACAGGCCTGTAATTAATTTTCTAACCAAAATTTTGCACTGCCAGGTTTTAATTCACATTCAAACCTCTGAGTAATATCTAATTCAGTAAATTCTTTTGATACATACACGTGTATATTAATTTTATTTTCATATGCACTGTGTTGTATTTCAGTTTTTAAAGCAATATTAACTTGTATCCAACTTGCCAAGTGCCATTATTTATATGAAAGACAATTATCTTCTGTTAACTTTCAGAAGGGCATTCAGTGTTATCTTTACTATGTGCCTGACTGAATTTGTTTTAATATTCTCACATATTTTATAATGTTCTTTCCAGACAGAGTGTCTGCTTAAGCAACATATCTTGCTTTCACATCTCTGCCTCTGAGTCATTCTCTCTATATTTTCTATAGTCCAGTACGGTGGTTTGAATGAGAATACCTCCCATAGGCTTAGATGTTTGAATGTACTGTACAGTCATGTAGTGTGTCTGAGGATGCTCAGGAGGTACAGCCATGCTGGAGGAAATCCATCCCTGGAGGGAAGATGTGAGGTTTCAGCAGCCAGGAGCCGTTCCCTGTTCGCTGTCTTGGCTTCCTGCTTATGTTGAAGGATGTGAGCACCTAGCTTGCTGTTCCAGCAACCAAATCTGCCACTTCTGCTTCTCCATAATGGACTTCACCCTCTGGAAATGAGAGCTCAAATAAACTCTTTCTTCTGTAAGTGGCCTTTCCCGTGGTATTTTATTACGGTAATAGAGAAGTAAATAAGACATGTAACTCAAGTTTTCTCTTTCTTTTTAATGTGAAACCTGGTGCTGGTTAAAGAATTGTACATCTTTTGTATTTTGATACTTCTGATATCAAGTAGATTTGTGTACTTACTGTTCTCTGAGTATTATTATGGGATCAGGTGTTCAAATACTACTGCAAGATCTTCTGATTTCTCTACTTTATCTGTCCTCCAATCTACCAACATTTTAAAGTCAGATATGAAGCAATCTAAGCTGTACTGAAGTTATATGACATCAGAAATATGTCTCAATTCTCTTAAGATCACAAGAATTTAGTATAATCTTTGTTATATAAAAGATTTCTACTGAATATTTGTAAAACAAATTCCTAGTAGAACCATCCAGATTACTCTGAGCCACTACTGCTTTTCTGCATTAAACATATTATGTATTTTGACAATTATTTGACTCCTTCAGCTAATGTAACATGTATGACATTTATCATGCTTTCTTCTTCAAATACTAGTTTCTTAAGTAAATTGTAGGATTTTTGAGGACATGAGACATAGTAGAAGTTTTGCTGTTGTTGTTGTTTTGAGACAGGGTCTCTCTGTGTAACTTTGGAGCCTATCTTGGAACCCACTCTGTAGACCTTGAACTCACAGAGATCCACCTGCCTCTGCCACCTGAGTGCTGGGATTAACAGTGTGCACCACCACCACCTGGCCATAGTATAAGTTTTATGTAGAGTAAGTAATAATAACTTTGGAAAATACTTTGCATAGTATCATTCATTTCATATGCTACATACTTTGACTATATTTTAATTTGTATGTATTTATGCACACAAAATATCCAGTATATCCAAAATTTGATAGAAATACTTATCTACTTATACCTTTAAAGCTACCAATTCATAGGAATCATTGGGGTGCACTCAAAACTCACTGGTATACCCACCAGGATAATATTAAAAAATTGGAAGGAAATTAGTTAGGTTTTAAACAGAATAGATATATTATTAGTACTGTAGAATGAACTAATTATTTTTCTTGAGTGCAGGAAAATGTAAAATTAGCTTTAATTCATAAAGTGAGATAAGAAAAAACTAGTAGGTATATGTCTTTATTTGGGTAAAATAACTTTAAAGATAATTTTAACTGATAAGAAAAATGTTTATAGATTGTTGTTAGAGATTATGCTGATTTAGTAAATTAGCTGCTGTAGATTTTCCTCCAAACATCATGACTTCACTAGCACTGAGTAGTTAACCAGGTTTCCAGTACCAAGCATGGATTCCTTCTTGCATGGTTTCCTTCTTGTTGAGCATGTCTTAAGTCCAGTTAGGAAGTTGTTGGTTACTGCTAAGGTATGCATATATACTTAGGGTAATCTTGCCATGCTGGTAGTTGATGTGGTATATAGGTCTAATAGCTTGGTAAGATTTTGATTGTCTCCTTCCTTTGGAAGCTTGGATGAGACTTTCTCCTGCCACGAAAGCTAATTCTCAGGGAAGAACTATTCAGGTTAGTTCTGGTTCAGGGTATCTGGGCCCTGTTTCTCAAGTGCATGATATTTTCAGATATAGGTACTTACCTTCCACCTCTGCAAGGTGGCCAAGGTCAATAGGAATAAGCTCTATGTTTTGGGATTCTCTTGGAAGCCCTGGCCATCAACTCAAAAGGGCTTCTTGGGTCTGTTATTGAGGTTTATGTTAGATGGCCTTTAGCTCTTGGAGGGAGTACTGTCAGCCTAGATACGGCAAGTTCATTGAAGATATATATATATATATATATATATATATATATATATATATATATATATATAATCATACATTGAATTACATGCATTGTGGGCTTTTTTAAAGGCAAATAGTTAACAGTATGATTCCTTGTGTCTTTTCCAGACATTCTTATTGTCATCTGTCCTTATATGAACAGATAAGCATAGTCCTTACCCTTCATCTAGGAAACTTCTCTTTGTAACAGACAGAGACCACTATAGAAAACTACAATGAGTCAAAACTCAGAGTTGTGGAGCCCAGTCAAAATATATACATCTACAAAACCCTCCTGCACCTAGGGCTCAGGGAACATTAAAGAGGAGGTAGTGGAAAGATTCTAAGAGCCAGAAAATCATGAGTATGTTTTGTGTCTCCTAGTAAAACTAGAGGCTATGCCCATGAAGTCTCACTAACATGACTGCGAAAACATGAGGTGAACAAGGACAACACCAATGGACATACTAAAGTGGATAGAAAAAAAGCCCACAAGGCATCTACCTACACAATGACCAAGTGATGGAAGTTGGGAGCAGAAGAGGTGGTCTTGTCCAGGGAAGCACACACCAACTGGTTGTCCAGTGATAAGTGGTAAGTCCTGAAAATACACAATCAGGTAATGTATTATGGACCGAACTGGTTATATTTAGGAACACACACATGCACACAAACACACAACTCACACCCACACATACCCACATACACACATATATACAACTAGTGATAAAAGAGACGACTAAATAGAAGAAGGAGGAGGAGGAGAAGAAGAAGAAGAAGAGGTATATGAGAGAGTTTGGAGAGATGGAAAAATGTTGTAATTATAGTCTAATATCAAAATTTTTAAAAAGATATTTTCACTGATAAAATACAAGTATGCATATTTTTGAGTATTGATTTCTTTTAAAATTTATTGTATTTTTTTGTGGATGAGTGGTTTGCTGCATGTATGTTTGTCTATCATGTTCATGCCTTATGCCCATGGAGGGCAAACGAGGGCAAAAGCAGTCCTGAACCTAGAGCTACAGATGGCTAAAAGCTACCACGTGGTTGCTAGGAATCAAACCCTGGTCCTCTGAAAAAGCAGTCAGTGCACTGAGCAGCCTGTCTAGCCATGAGTACCGATATTTTAAAATCCTTTGATTCATTTAGGTTTTTTTTTTAGTGTATTCTTACCAAAACAAAATGTGTAACATACACAATACCATTTTTAAAATTATAGCCTTTTCATATACTTTCAAAGGAACATTTCACGAGGTAGGCTACAGCAAGAGGAGCAGGCTGGAATGATCTACGTGGTATTGACTTAGAGTTGGACATAAATATGTACACTACTTTGCTCTTTATTGCTATAATAAAATACCATGACCAAAAGCAACTTGGAGACAAAAGGGCTTATTTTGCCTACGTACCCTTATCACAGTCAGTCACTGAGTGCAGTCAGGGTAGGAATTCAGTGCAGGAACTGAAGTCAAAACCATGCCGTGGCACTGTTTACTGACAGTGTTCTGTTTGCTTTCCATAGCTCACTCCGTTTGCTTTCTTGTATAACCCAGAACCACCTACCGTGGGGAGACACCCCATCACCACCAGTTCTGAGCCCTCCCACCTCCCACATTAATCATTAATCAAGAAAATGCCCCACAAACATGTTCACAAGCCAATCTGATGGAGACAGTTCCTCAATTGATATTCCCTCTTCCCAGATGGCACCAGTTTGTATTGAAGTTGAAATAAACAAAATAAACAAAAATCCCATACCAGCACCATGTGAATTGCATGTAAATCAACATGTACACTGGACTGTTTAGTTTGTACAGGAATGCTCTCCTTGTTGCTGAGAGGGTTAAGAAGCAGGCATCCCTAGCAGTAACATATACATTTAAGCTCAAGTTTTAGTTTATTATCCTCCAACATAATAAGTCAAGTCTTCAAGAAGTTCAAAGCATAAGATGGGAAATACCAATCATGGTTGTTTTGTGTCACCAGAATTTGAAGAGGTATTCAGATATGTATACACCTACACACGTGTACTCACAAAGTAGGTGTTTCAAAGGGATAGATGAGTCTTTGACAGATCAAATGGCCAATGCTGAAGTAAGTTGAACAACAGAATAAACAATGGAATTCAGGATAGTTATCCAGAATAGTCAATACATTATTGAATAAGTATGCTAATGCTAGTTGGAAATAGTTTTTTAGTCATTTCAAGTAACTTGTATAGATATTTGGCTGTCAAATGACAGAGATAAAATTTTATATTCTTCACCCACACCCAGCATATTGAATATAGTGTGTAACTGGAGGGGAAAGAGTAGCAAACACTACCTCTGCAAGGCTGCCAATATTATAATATCAATAGCACTAAGTCTTTCCATTGTCTGACCACTTGATAGTGTGATAAGAATGACACATTGCCTCTGCAGTTTTCCTCCCAGAAATCCTAAGTCTAAATATGAGGAAAATATCAGACAATTCCATGCAAGGAACATTCTATAAAAGCTAAACAGCATTCTGTAAAACCTGAACGGCACTTTGTAAAATTACCAAAGTCCTCCCATCAAGGAAAACAAAAGAAATTCTCCAAGCCACATTCAGCCAACAGCTCATGGTGACTGTAGTGTGATATACCGGTAAAATTCTAGGATAGTTACAGTGTGATGTCCTGGCAGAACTCTGGGATGGCTGCAGTGTAATGTTCCGGTGAGACTCTGGAATTTAAGTAGGACATTAGGCAAAAAGCAAGGAACATAAAAACAGTATGTGCTTTGTTCAAATATAGTGCATTCATTGTAAAAATAATTTTGAAGATTATAATATAAGTACATCATCTCCACCTTCCACTTCCTATCTCTAAAGCTTTCTATGTAGTTCCCCTCATTCTCTTTTAAATTAGTAGCCCCCTTTTCTTTAATTGTTGACACACACACACATCCATTCCTACATACATAAATATAATCTACTCAGTCTGTGTAATGTTACCTGTAGGTATGTTTTCAGGGCTGGCCGTTTGGTGTTGGATAACCAGTAGGCATTACTTTTCCCTGGAGAAGGTTATTTCTCCCACCCTCAGCATTCTGTAGTTGCCTGTAGTTTTTCTTCTAGAGTGGAGACCTCATGAACTCCCGTCTGTCCACATATAACTGTCTCTTGGTGTGATCCTTTATGAATGCCAATGTAAAATGTCAGTAATAATGGCAACTGAGGAAAAAGTATTTTGGAGTTCTCAGAATTACATTTGCAGCATTTTCTTAAATCTAAAGCTGTACTAGAGGAAAGAGGTTATTTTAGAAGAAGTCACAAATCTTAAAAGTAAAATTCCTATTTTTAGAGATATGTACAGTCTTATGGGTAAGATTTTGATTAGATTGTTAAACTTACAATCATTTTTTGGTATATTCTTTTGTTTTTTTTATTTATGTAAGTGATAGATTAAAATGTAAAATTTGTATTATGCAATGTCATGATTGTCATGTTTCAATACATGTATATGCTGTATAATGTTTGACATTAAAACATTCATTCATAATTACTTTATTATAGGCTTTGTGATGGGGAACATTGGATATTTATTCACCATCACTGTAACAGACACAAATAGTGCAACTCTTTCTTCATCCATTTGTGCCGCTACATAAAAAAAAAAAAAACCCCACAAAATACTGGGTAGTTTATAAAGTATCCAGATTTGTATACTGTTCCAAATGCTGGAAAGTTGGAGATGGAAATAAAACCAGAATTAGTTTCTGTCTACAAAATGACACTTTAATTCTGGGTCCTCTGGCAGGGCAAATGAATGAATGAAGGGATGGAAGGGGTGAATTTACCCCTTCAAGTGGTCTTTATGATGTTTTAATTCAATAGATGTGGGTGGAGCTCTCACGACCTTCAGAGTTTCGGTGTCTTGATCCTGTTCCTCTCTTGATGTGAGCTTTTGTGGTCACTGGTCTCATCAGCCATCTCCATGTGTTGTGCATATCTCAGAATTCAGTGAATGTTTTACTAAAAATCATTTCCAACTTGAACTCCCTAGGTTTTGGGGCAGAGGATGTGTGTGTGTGTGTGTGTGTGTGTGTGTGTGTGTGTGTGTGTGTGTGTGTGTGTGTATGCACATGAGTCTAAATGCATGTAGCCCTTTTCTTTCTGTTTCAAGGTCCTATCATTGAAGTTGAATGGCTGGCTTGCTTTCTTTCTCTGTATTGTAGTTACTTTCCACAGAATAAAAATGGAATAATTTTAACAAACTGAATAAACTTTGCTGTGTCTAATACGACAATGTTTACACTCTAACTTTAGGATGGTCTCAATACAACTCTCTGGGGGTCTGTATTTTCACGTTTTTCTGAATATGCACTTTGGTGAGAAGATGAACAGATTTTTCTGTGTACTGGTAGCCAGATGCCGATCTGGATTGGATGATTCTACAAAAAGAGTTTTATTGGATTATAGATGCTCTCTCTAAAATCATTCTCAAATAGTTCATGGAGGAAATCAAAATCCAAATTCATTTTCTGCATGCTTGCCAAGTACTTTGAAAACACACAGCCTTTAAATTTTAGCCTATACTGCTCATGCTTGTGAGTTGACCCCACTTTCACATTAATACGTATTCTGCTTGGCATGACTCCCAGGTCTATTTTCTTTTTGCCAGTTTGGCCTGCCATAGATCTTAACTTCCATAATCCAATCCGAGAACCATCCCATCAATCTTTGAAAGTTGCTTGGTCTGCACTTTCCCGAAATCTGTACCATTGCACATTCCCGCTAGTCTGTGCTTTCAGTCTATCAAAGCACATCTAATGAGAAGAAACCTACTGAAATTTGTAGGACATGCCATTTACAAGGATCTGCCTCTCTACAGTGTCCATATGTTCCCTTCTCCATGCTCTCCATGAAAATTAGTGAAAGGTCAGAGATGTGTAAAAATAAAATGAAAATCGCTTTTAATAACAAAAAATACTTAAAAATGAACTTCTATGATGTTCTACTGCTTTCTTTGGCTAATATGTCTCCTTTCTCATGACACTAAAAACTTAAAAGTGATATCTTTTGTTTTAAAAACCATTTTATGAAGGGCTAAGTTTTCATCTCTTTCTGGAGAAAGAACTATTTCAATTAATGTTTCAAAATATAAGAAATGAAAAAGAATGACTTTAACCTACCACAAACTATGGTGTTATCTGCCCCCAAAGAATAATGAATTCTACACACAATGACTTGGGAGTTAGTGTTTTTAATGGAAGGTAAGGTCTCCTAAGAATCATTTCTGAGGTCTCTGCACACACTGATAAAGCTAGACAGCTTAAAAATCGCGTTAGATATATGGAGATTGTAACATCACAAGGAAAGGATAAGCAGACAGGGAGTTGGGAGTGTTGGATAGACTGCTGAAAACCACAGAGCATTAACAGTGATGTATACATGGAAGGGCTTTGGTGAGGAAATTTTTTTGAGGTCACAGGTATGTTATATTCTATCTTAATACACCCCTTTTGCTGTGTAGTAATTAGCTCTGCAACTAAATCTTCAGGAAAGATATATGAAACATTATGCTTTATGTAAGAGGTATTCTGGGGACTTGTGTGAGAAATGAC